GAGACCTTGTTACATCAGAATATGTGATGTTAAAATTGTTTATTTCTGAGTGTGGAAATGATGTGTTATTTGTGAAATGCACAGGTTAACTCAGAGGTAATAACCTGCAAGCTCAGATCTGGGTTAAACCAGGTCATTCAAGCTCCCTTTTCCAGTTTTGTGGGATCATTCAGACTCTTCTTGAGTTCTTCGTTTTCTTTGACTGGCCTTTAGCACTTGGCATTCAGCGATCAATAGCTCCAGGGGCAGTGATGATGGGATGAATACTAATGCACTTGAACAGCATTGCCATATGACTGGCTCTGTATAACTTTATGGCTGACGTTATCTCTTCATCTCATCCGCAGCGTCTCACGTGGCTCAGTGAATAATCACAGCCCAGTGCATTTGTTCTGTTTGGTCACTGCATTAGGCTCATTGATTACAGTTCATTTGTAGCTCCTAGAGAATAATGCATTGCTGTTTAAAACAAGTACAGCATCCCAGAGTTCTCTGCTGCCAGGCAACATTCTTCCTGTGTTGTTTACTGTGCTGCTAAAAGATATTTGGTAATTTTATGTATTCAAGGACGCCGGTCATTTATCATGTCCCTAATGGTATTCAGTCTTGTTCACAGAGAAGTGCAGAGACGTGAAATTGCTGTTATAATTTTAATGTGATTGTGCTGTTTTTCTATTAGTGTCCAGGGACTTCAGCTTGGCTTCAGGGCCTTTCTTCCTGTTTATCTTAAATGTGTTTGTTAGCAATGTTATGCATTGGTGACAGAGGCCATCTTAGAAATCACGCCATGTCTAATCTCGAAAAATATAAGCCTTATATCAAATGTAGAAGTGAGTGCTTCCATTTGATGAACTGCCAAACTAAGAGTTGAATAAAACCAGTAAGTGTCATCAGGAGATAAGAATGAATGCAGCCCCCTTTATTGTAATGTCACAGAATACTAATCATGGTTTCTGTTTGGAAATGGATTCTGACAGGTTTTATCTGTTTAAAGAAATGGAAACAGAATGGGTTTTACTGCTAAGACTTGAGTGATGAGACTGGAATAAGAATACTTGCATTCTTATCAGAGTCAGATTGGACCCCCAGGACAGGAAATGCATATCAAGTAATGGATCACATATTTCAAGCCCAACCTAGGAGCTTGTTCAAATAGATTTATTATACGGTATCAGCTAAAATGATCAAAATCAGGGCTGGGAGTTATCAGCTTAGGTGTAAACACATGAGAAATGGTAGCAAGTTGAAAAGTTATGGTTGTGACAGACACCATATGTTATGAGTGCAGCATAATTTGATTGTATGTTAATCCTACTCTCTCTCTGTGTCCTCATTTTATGCTACTCCTCTCCTGTCATATGTTTGATTAAAAAGCAGAAATACCCTCAAAACCTTGTTTTGCAAATTCTCTCTCTGTATATGTTTGATTTGATTTATCAAATTTCATGCAATGGCCTGGTACACCTAGCGAATAAGGGATGACTACCCTGGTTCTACATGGAAAAATCTTATGGTTAACATTTATATTGTCTCATGACATATTATCCTATTATTACCCCTTTCTGTCAAAAGGGTTAGGGTTACAGCCATGCTAGCAGTATGGTCAAATAGCAATGCTGATGTTTAGCAGGTATACAGTAATGTTAACCATCATAGACTAGATATTAATATGCCATTATTTGCAAATTAACCTCGAACACAAAGTGCAGCTGATGGAAATGATGTTTTTGATGTATTTGGTCACGTATTTAGGAAAGATCAGCAGTTACTGAAACTCATTATGTTGACGGCATGGTTATTTGTCCCAGATTTCATGATAATCCATTCAGGTGGTGCCAAGAGCATAAGTCAGAACCACTAATTTCATTTTTTTTCTTTGCTGAATCAGTTTACAGGTTAATACTGCATTTACACTCCAATGAATCAGTGTCCGAGTTTGAGTAAAATGGTGTGACAGGACAGAACATCTGCTGTCAGAAAATATTTGGCTTCTTTTTTTTGTTTTGTTTCAATTTAGCAGCATTATGAAGATGAGAATGCCAATAATATGCAAGAAAGCCTATTGAATCATACCTGATTGTGTGTGTGTGTGCAGGTACAAAGCCTGATCCCACTGAGAAATCTATTAGTATTAAGCTTTTATTTTATCAGACTGCAGTAAAAAGATATGAAACCTAAAAAGAGAAGAAGACTGCATTTCCTCCAGGCTGGTACAATAGCGCTATCAGTTACATTGAGGAAGGCCTCGAACTTGCAAACTAATGCGATCTTTCTATTTATTCCATTTTTTTCAAAGATATCATTTTATATGAGATCAATATCTGCAACCTTGACTTGGAAATGAACGACAGATTCAGAAGTGTCATTGATGTTGGCTGCTGTTTGGCTTCTTAATGAAGACTAAAGAGAGCCTAATGGCCTGAACAACAAACAGCGGTGGGCGTCACCAGTGCAATTAAGCCCATGTTTTTAATAGCAAGCTGATTCATTTCTTTAATCAAAGTCAGCTTTATCTTTGAAGTGCAGTCAGATTTAATTATGCAGAAACACACCAGAGAAGCTGCTGTTGCTGCTGCTGCTGTGTGAAAACCCCCAGAAATCCCAAACACATTATAATGAATAACGATGAAAATGTAATGACTTTTTACATGGGCAGTCTAATTTTAGATGATCTTTTCACAACAGTTTATGTAATCCTGCACATTTTGTGGTGGCAGGTGGAGTTTTTCCTTCCGCTTTTCTCCTGTGTCAGTTTAATTGACATGTTTACCTCTGCCAAAGATGTTGTTTACTTGACAGGCAGTGGGAAAGCTCTAAAAATTTCCAAATTCCTGAGAGACAGGCCATGAAATAGTTGCTTCATTTAGAGTTTGGATTTTGGTGGCAATTTATTAATCAGACCTGCATTAGTTGATAACCAGACTTGGTGCCAAATTCTAAGGGGAATAATTGTAAGATCAAGAAATAAACTTAAATGCCAGGAACAGCAATTTGGAGAATTAGTATTGGTCATGTCGCCTTCCTCTGTTATGTGGTAATTTGTGGCAAGTCATTTATCATGGCTGTTTTAACAAAGTGCCTTTACTGTGCGAGCCAGCACAGCAAAAACGCATTTCTCTTTCTGTGTTCTCCTTGTTGTTGATGACACTGTTGCCGGTAATTGCCACAGGAATGTAATATTCAGCCTAAAGAGCAGCTCAGAATTGTCTGTTCCTTTCAAATGACTGTGGCTTTGATTTGATTATTCACAACAAAACATTAACCCAGCTCTGACTGAGGCTTATTGCACAGCCTTCAACCATGTTTCTGTCGCTGCACAGTTAATGCTGCTTTGTTTCATGAATTTAATGTAAATTCAGCTGCTTGAAAAAGTACTGTCAGTGCAGTTGTGGTGCCATATGTAGATCAAGTCTTCTTCAGCGTTCACCACTTGGCCTTGTGATGAGTGGTTTCATTTTGTGAGGGAACTGATTTTATTATTCATACTCCAACAGAGATTCGAGTTTTGGTGCATTAAAGCATGACGTCGTCGTTTCCCCACTCAGAACTGTTATTCCCTTTGTCCCAGATTGAAATTAAATGCAACATTTGATGCTGGCCTTAATTGTTTTTCCTCTCACAGTCACATCAATCCAGTAAAGCCTCTTCTGTCTGGGCATATAGCACGTTATTTAATTAAATTTTTTATAGCGCTTTTTCCTCCTCAAACTGTTGCTTTAGTCTATTGTTATGATGTTAAGGACTTATGTGCCTTTATGTCACTGTGTGATACGGGAAGTGGGTTTTCTCACTTTACTTTTGATGCATTCTGCTTTTTCTAACCTGCTCCACAATATATCAGAAGTGCAGTGCGCTTTTTTACAATGAAGCAGCTGAACACATCAGGTGAACACCATGAAATTGACCTCAGAAAATTATGAGAGTTACAGTGCAAACACCACTACAGAGGGAATTCAAGCTAAATGGATTCTATTTGGGACTCTTTCTGCAGTATGCGCATCACCTTAATGCCCTTACAAATATTGCCTCATGTGGGTTGCACTGTAGCGGCTGCCAGATAATCAGCAGGCCAGATAGAATCACAACTTTTCTTGGGAGCAGTTTCTCCCTGTTTGTTGCTCCAAAGCAGCATGAGGTCCCATCTATCTTTTTTGTACTGTCGGTTCTGTTGATCTAATTGGATACCCTCTGTTGGCTACAGTGAATCATTGCTGGACCTCTTCTCTCCCCTCAGTACTTATTTTTATTGAATGCAGGGTTCCCCTGAAACACAAGGCTCAACTTTAAAACTTGTATTTGTCCCTTGGCTCCAGTCATTGATCTTTTTTTTTTTTTTTTTTTTTTTTTTAAGACGGCCTTTTTTTTGTCCTTTTTTTTGTCACTTTTATTCCTGCAGAGGATTATAGGCCTGCTTTTATGTGTTCTGCCTCCTCAGAGGAAGGCCAGGAGTTCAGACCATTCTCCCCACTCCACTAATTGACTCCTAATATCATAAATGCATTTTAAGGCATGTTCACACTGTATATGGGGTCGACGGTTCCACCCCTTCTCTGTGTATTAGTAGTGTTGCTTCTTCCTCCTCTGCCCTTGACTCTTGACCTCCACTGATGCAGAGCAAGCTCTGCTGCAGCACAGGGAGTTTAGCGGTGCCACATCAGAAACGGAGGTGAGGCAGCGGAGCCGGTTTGGCATGCACCCCGTGAGTTTTCAGAGAGAAGTTTAAATCCTGCCAGTTCCTCAGCTCTTCAGCATGGCGAGCATCTCACTCTGCTGCTGATCCACACTGCAAACACCTCCAGGAAAGTGGCTTTTGTTGAGCCGATCGAAGGCAAAGATTTTTTTTTAATTACTGCAGAATGGAAAGGCACGGGGGGGATTTCCTGTGGGCATCAGTATCTGTTTGAGTTTATGATGTTTTAATGAGCCTGGCGTGTAAATGATGTTTTGCAGTTGTGTATGCTGGAAAGGCTAATTTGTTTGTTTTTCTTCTGCATTTTCAGTGAATGGATTCTCAGTTTACTTGGAGGCAGACTTAAGGCTTTCCAGACAGACCAGAATGTCAAAAATCTCCAAGGCAGCCAAGGCTGTGAAAAACATGGCTGCAGATGGCATAATCCGGACTATAGTGAGGTCAGGACAAGCAGCCCCTGGACCCCCACTAGGCCCCGTCCTGGGACAGGTAAAATGACTTAGGATTTCTCTTCTTGTTCTGTGTGTTTGCTCCAAGTAATCAGGATTTTAACTTAATTGCCGGAGCAGGGTTTCATTTTATCAGCAGACCTTGTGCACTCAGTTGTCATTAACTGCGAGACAACCCAGTGCTTCCCTTTTTTCGCTGTCAGTCACAGTCGCCTCTCTCCCCTCGGTCACCTCATCATACAGATGCACCACCACCACCACCACCTCCATGTCCTCCCATAGCCCTTTTCACATTCCTATTCTTATTCTAGTCACACAGCTCCATTGTGCAGGTGAGTGCCACACTCTGTCAGTCTGCAACTATTTTCTCACAGTTTCCAGGCCAAAGACACCAACACCTCCATCCACAGCAGCTGTCCATATCCATTAGTCTCACTCTTTACAAGCCCGTTGATGAAACTGGATTGAACCTGTGAAGCTTTTGTCTTAAATTCTTGTATACTTCTCTCTGCTTCAATTGCCCCAAAGAGACAGCTGAGGCTGTCTTGTCTTTTATTGCTCAGGGATGCACCACTATAACGTTTTTACCACCAATGCCGGTTCCAACTAGAAAGGTGTATGTACTGGCTGGTACAATAATGCACCAAGTCAGCAGTCCTCAAGAGCTGAGCAGTGAACAAAGGCAGATTGGACTGAGAGAGGATAAAAATAACTGAGGCTGAAATATCTTTCACAGTAAATAAAGTCATCTTTATGTGTTTAAAACAGTTAAATTCCAGAACTCTGTTCATTAACCTCATCTTGGTTTTGGACCACACGTGTTGTTTTAAATCTTTCTCGTAAATTTACATTTTTATTTCACACCATAAAGGTCCAATCTGCTCCCGCTTTAACGGTCATTCGGTTATTAAAGTTTGATTGTCTGTTGTGAGATTGAGTGAAGGCAACCCTGTGGCTCATTCTGCACTTACAAATGATCCAGCTAGCCTCCTTAATGGACAGCGCTCATCAGCCTGGGATGCTGTTGCACACCTGGGAACCGGATCAATCCTCACAGCTAATCTGTCTCTGTGACTTAATGACGACACTCGGGGAGGAGAGCTGGAAAGTGAACATAACTGGCAGACAAGGGAGCTACTCATGATTTATAATATCAGGAAGAAACAAATGTTCAGATGTGAGAAAGGAGTTAAATGATGTGAAAATAGATTTTTCTTATCTGACATCAACAGTGTCATTGCCGTTACTTTAGGGTTCTGTTCAAAGCGATGTACTCTACAGTCGTATTACACAGATTTCAAAATGATTTCAGTTACCAAATGTTATTATTTTTCTGAATATTTTCTCAATTCATCTATTGATCTTTTGCTTTGGCAGCTGTCAGAAAGGGAGAGTTGTGAAAATTGTTGTATTTTCTTAGAGCCCACGGTGACGTCAGATTGCTTTTCTTGTCTGACAAAAATATTTAAAAGTCATATAAAACAGATAATGAGCAAATTATTGCAATCAATTAACTGCAAACATCACTTTTGGTATTTTTACTTGAAAAAATGACTGATCACTTACTAATTAAAGTTTTTTAAATAAGTACATTTCTCTGCAGTTAGTGAGTCCAAACCAGAGTTAAAAGCAATGAACACTGAACTTAAGGTAGCCAGAAATAAATGAATGCTATATATTAGAATCTTCTGTTTGTGTAAATTAAGCAACTGTTTGCCTTATCAGTTTAAAAGGTGATGATGTGCCAGTGTTGTTAGTATCTTATTGCAGGTTTAATTAATCTTGTTCTAGAGAATCTTGAGAGATTTCCTAAACCTGCTTCAGTTTGTTTGACAGTCACTTCTCTAATAAGGGAAAATACAGTGAAGATTCCTACACTTGAAATACATTCAGTTCTAAAGAGGAGGATCTGTGCTTTAATTTAATCCCATTTCATCTTATTCCTCAAAAATACAGCAGCCAAGATTTAAACAGCTGCCAAGAGCAGAGCCCGTAATAACCCAGTTTTACTGTCTCTGCACTGTTTACAAGTTAGATGTGTAATTGATTTTAGAATTTTTACTGATCACGTTTAAGGCTCCCTTCCCCTCAGCTACACTGGCGAGTTGCTCTGAGCTGAAGCTGAGACTTAAGACACAATCGCTCATCTCTCGATTCTAAAGGTCACCAAGTTTTTCTTCTTGGCACAGTTGGGACCGTCTGTGCTGCATAGCTGAAAATTAAATTTCTCAACTTGTTACCTAATTTCACATAAGGCACTGTGCACTACAAAGAACCGTGTGTGCAACAGTGTTTTACAAGTAAAGTCACTATTCTTGACTCTCATTGGGGCTATTTTTAGTGGCAGCTACCCATAGGCAGCTATAAAACTCCAAACAACAGCGATCATAAATTTTTAAAAAGTCCTCCATGTCTCTGGCATCATATAAAACCTGTCACATTGATGTGAGTGCTGATATGTTAGCGTCAGTGAGTGTGTGTGTGGTATTTTGTGTTTCCTTTCCCAATGATGCTACAGTTGGAATTTGATCATTTTGAAGAATCTGAAATGTGTGACAGCTCAAGATAACATGCAAACTAAGAATAGCAGTTGCTTTACCAACCTCAAAAACTACGCAGTGTCGTATGTGCTGCCTGTTCTTGTTCCTGTGATCCATTTCACCTTTGAACACTTGATCGTGCTCTGTCCTGTCTAAATACTCTGTTTCCAGCCAGAGACATGTTAAATTATCACTATGTGTTTTTCCCACTTGCTATTGAGCACTTTTTAAAAACATGTTTGTGTTCTTCTTTTTTGTATTTTTCCTTTTTATGATGTCTTTTACTCCACTGCATTTATCTGACAACTAGTTACTTTACAGATCCGTCTTATTAATGCAAAATGAAAACAAAGAAAAAGGCATTATCAACTTTTTGTTGCAGTGATTTTAATTAGCTCCATGTTTACCAGCTGTAACATTAAAGAATGTGTACACACTGATATTACTCTGGCTCATTGTCAACTGGCTTTTGATAAATCAAGTCCATTTTAAGGTAATGGTTTTATTTTGAATGCCTGCCTTGTACTACTTTAATGCTTGTATTGCTACTTCTTTCACCAATGTATTAATTTAAAGTGATATCACACAGAGAAACACAGCAATTCCTCACATATGATCAGCTGGAGTCTGCTGATAGTTGGCATTTTTGTTTCATAATTAACTTTCAACCCTGGTGTGTTTTTTATTTAGTTTTAGCAGCAGGTAACCCCAACCTCTGAGGGCAGTATTAATATACATTTGTATCAAGTATTGCATTGCAGATCATAAGAGTCTCAGATTCTTTTGCATCATTTCTTTCTTCTAGAACATACTTTGAAGTTCTCTCCTAAAGCTGTGGTGCTGATGGCATGTGCTGTGATGAATGATTCAGACATCTGTCTGTTAAATGTGGCTCTTTCTGCCAGACTAGGTGGGTGTGAGCTTGTAGACACTGTAACTGTCGCAGTGTCAAGGGTAACGAGGTGAGATGGGCTGCGACCAAGTGCTCGGCCAAGCAAAACAAGGCCATATGTTTGTCTAAAGGCGCCTCCTTTTTGAACTCTTTAGATCTGATTGTTGTCGGTGCAGAATGTTGTGCGTGTCCACCTCTCCTGGCTCTCGTGCTCTGTCAAGCTCACGCAGTGTGTAGCAAATGGTAAATAAATGGCAGTCGGCAGCTACTCTGCTTTAGGCAGTGGCCCCGGCCCTTTAATCTTTGCCAGCCTCTCCTCCTCGCTTTTTCCTCATCTCTGACTAACCACCCTTGACAGGGGAAGTGCAGAGAGGTAGGCTGCGTGTCGGCTGCGAAGGAAATTTAAACAAACGATAGAAATAAGACAAGGAACCGGAAACAAAAAAGGGAAATTGACAGCTTTGATACAGGAGACTCATTATAGGTGAGAGTGAAATTAGCACAAGTGAATGGATGGGAAGAAGAGAGAGCACCAGAGAAAGAAAGGAGGAGAGCAGCTCCTGCACATTTCGTATGGCGCATGTTATAAAAGGCAGCTGTAGCTGAGGGAGATGCTGAGCATTGTATCTAAACCTTAACAGGTGTAACTTATTTTAGGAAGTAGTCATTTGGTGAGGCTGCTGCCTATGCAGTCACTGCTTTTAGTTTAATGGAAATGTGAGAAGTTGCCCGACAGGGAGTACACGCACAACGCATGTGTTTGAAATGTAGAGTGAGCGAGGGAGAAGGAGATGAAAGAACCAGGGTAGTCAAGAGTTGGGAGCTGTCTACTACGCTGGCAGACTCTCAGTGGTCTTTCCTTAAAAGTCTCTGAACTCGAGAGAAATTCCCCACGAAAACTTGAAATAAATTTCTCTGTGTGGCTGTGGTGTATATTAGTCTCAATGCATCCTGTAAATACAGCCTGTAAATCTAGCATAAAGCAGTGAGAATAAGCTCTTGGATTCTGAAAAATAGCCTCAACTTCAATTAATAGGACCATTAAAGCTCAGAGGAGAGGCAGGCGGGTCTATTCACAGCTGCTGTGAGCAAAGAGCCAGTTCATGCTGAAAACCATCACACGCTTACCACAACTCTTGACATGCACAGCCCATTGCATCAAGACCTCTCTCTCTTTCAGCATTAAAAGCAGACAACATGACAGCACACTCAAGGATTACTGTGAGAGGATCCAAACTGGTGGAGCCGCTGGCATAATTGTGATAAATGACGGCCTTTCGTCAGTATGCCGCTCCATGAAGCAAAGAGCACGCCTTTCTGCTTTGAATGTGTGAGGGGTTTTCTATTCACTTCACCAGCTCAGTATGTGAAAAACATAAAAACATGCAATTTCCTGTGACTGCAGAATGGGAGCTGATTGACTTTAATATAGTGGAGGTTTTGAAAGTGTGAAGCAGTTATTTGTCCCTGAGGCCTCTTGGCTTAGAATAATTTGGACTAACGTGTCCTGTTTTCTTCCCCCTACATGTGGAAGACAGGATGCCAATATCTCTTCTACATAACAATGAACTGTCAACGCTAGATGAGTATGAAACACTTTATTAGTTCGCACTCTGTCCTGGAGGTGTAGATGACAACAGTTGTGGAATAACTTCACAGTATGCACATGGCGCAAGTCCAAGTTCCACATGGTACGCATACTCTCTAGTGTTCTTCCACCATGGGAGCTTAACAAGCCATAACCTGGAGCTTCACATACCCCTAACCCAGCGGTACTTGAACACCTGATGTGGTCCATTTCATTTTGCTTTTCCACTGCATTATCCCCCTTGTTGGTCCCTGTTTACTCGTGAGCAGAGCTGCACTCCTCGCACACACAGCTGGGCAGAGTGCGCAGTGATTGTTAGCAGGCGTGCGGTAAAGTGCAACTCCCTGCTATGATTGTAGGTGAGGGGGTGAGAGGTTGGAAAGGGGAGTGTTGTAGGCATGTACGATATGGCCACATTGTGATGAGCGATTGGCTTCATTCACGTTTGCTGCAAAATCACCGTCATTTTGTCGGAGCCCCTGCAGTGCTGGGGCCAGCTACAGTGAACACAGTATCCTATTGAAATGAACGAAAAGGGCAGCGTTCTTTCACATCTTTGAAACTCAGTCCGAACACGGCCTTCTTCATGCCTGCTACAGTATCTGCCAGTCAAACAGCTGTTGAACAAGCAGAACATGCAGTTGCAGAAGTGTGACATCTTCACTGCTTCACCCACAGTCAACTCACTGAAATCCCTGTTTTACCTTTAAACCGGTGTGCGTTTATGTTTATATGCTGCGCTAATATAAGACACGTGATGGCACATAGGTTTAAACCAATCACAGGCGACAGTGACTGCATGTGAGCTGGCACAAGTTCCTAGAACTTGATTTAGCACTACCTCCTCAGGGCTGCTGAAATTTAACTCCAGGACCTCATCTCCAAAGTGGGAAGAGGGCAGTGGAAACAAATGTAGAACCCGACACATGTGAGGTGCAAGTTTCATTACAACTCGGTAGGTTTCTAAAGTGGAAAAGGCCTAATGAATGCTTCATGAGGAAACAAGGCACGTGACTGTACTGCACATCATCTACACCTGCTTCTCGGACCCATAACCCCCTGACACCCAAATACTACAATACCCACATCCTAACAAATTGGTTAACAGCTTTATCTAAAAAATGAAAAGGGGATTTCAGGGCGTGACAGACAACTGGACAGGGTTTTTTTTTTTCTTTTTTAAAATGACAGTTTGAGACAAGTACAGACAGAAGACAGCAAAATGTTTTCAAACAGTGAAGGGATTACTTACATTGGTATTTAATCTTTGTAAATGATGTAGTAAAATAGACCTGCAGTTTGTGTTATGGTAACATTAAGATGATGCAGAATGCTCCAAGCCCATCTTTCATCTCTAACCACCAAAAGGTTTTATTTTTGGAAACCGTGTCTGTTATAAATAGTTTACATCTTGTGCTGTGCACATTTTTGTTATGTTCAAATTTCTTACTGGACGGTTTTTAACATCAAAAGTTGTCCTGAAATATATGTGAAGGTACACGCATCTCTGAAATCTTGACTAAAATGTTTTAGCCACTTAGTTAATGATCAAATTCTGCATTTAAACCAAATCTCATAAAACCAAAAACACATTTAGCCAGGGAGGGCTGAACACGATGCCCATGAGTCTGTAGGCTTTCACTCCAAGCAGTCACCACAGTGACTGATTCCTCTGATTAACTTTTTCTGCCAGAGGAGGAGTGAGTGGAATCTGCCAGTGCTGGAGTGAAAATCTGGCACCGTGGTCCTCCAGGGAGTTGCAAGATAAATCTGGGAGGCCATGAGATTAGGAATATAATTGTTTTCCTCGTAACGGACACACAAATAGTTTATTTTTTCCTCTTTGATTTTTGCATTTTTATATTGTGAACAATTTTAACTCTTTGGGCCAGAAAAGCCCTTTCAGATCAGAAAAAAAAAAATCTAAGGGGCACATCACTCGAGGTTATGACTAGACTTTGATTTAAAGGGTCACAAGCCAAAAGGGTTGGACTCAACACTGAAATATTAGAGTGCAGTGTAGAGTGGGTTTTACTGCTGGATGGCTTTTAAGTTGTGCCTCTGTGGTAGTAAAAGAACAAAAATAAATCATCACTCCTCTGTATTAAACTTATCTCTGTGAAAGTTCCCTGTTAAATGACGGAGAAAATCTACACCAAAAGGTCACACTCTGTATTTTGGCATCTAATGGCAGAAGAGTGTTGATCTAATTTTTCCCACAAACCCCATCAAGTGAAGGACAAAACTCAACAGACTGTGGCAGTTGTGCCAAGAAAGAAAAGGAAAAAAACACTACTACACTTCAACATGTATTTCTAGAATATTCTTTACAACCTGATTGATGTGTTCATGGTGTTCAGTTTAAAAATACACTCCCATAAATCACAGAAGTGCATTTTAGACTTATTCTTAGCACAACATAATTTGCAGGGAGTCAAGCTTGCCAAATGTTTTTCCACAGCGCTCGATTATGCCCATCACCATTCACGAGTTATTTGTTTGGATGTGATACTGGCTTAGCTGGTCTGGGGTTTGAATGTGGGTGTGCGTGCCTGCAGTTGTGCATGTTCAGAGTCGTCCTCTAGAGTTCGTGGGAGATGAAGGGCGTCTCTGTGGGCTCCAAGCTGACATGGGAGAGAGTGTGGCTTTGGGAGTGAGATAGTGTGTGATAATGAGAGTAAGGAGCTTTCCCCTGAGCCTGGGCCTCTCCCTGCTCTGAGCTCTGGCTTGGCAGGGTTGAGTCTCCTGGTTCTGCTCCAACCACACTCCCAGCTCCCGCTGCAGCACGCTCCTGCTTGTGTCTCTCCCAGGCTGAGCTCAGCTTCACAGCCAGAGCCAGCAGGTTCTTCCCCAGGAACACGGTGGACACACGGGGGTCCCTGTACCACAGCATGCCCATGCCCCTCAGGGCCAGGGTGAAGATGTTGATAGTGACCAAACTGAGCCAAGGGTACAAAGCCTCCTTATGGGGTCCCCTCTGTCCTGGTAGGCCAGTAGCCCCCAGCTCAGTGAGGGCCACGCATGGCAGCAGCAGCAGGAGGGCGTAGCAGTAAAAGAAGACAAGGCCCTCAACCCAGATGGGCAGCTTTTGCTCAACACTCCCTCCAGTCCCTGCTGCAGCCCCTCCTTGGGCTTCCCACAGCCCTGCTTGCAGGTCGAGCACATCGAGCAGATCCACCACCACCCACAGCAGCCGGCCCCGCACCTCCTGCTTCCTGCGCTGCGGGGTCATATGGTCGGCTCCTGTTAGAATGAGGAACAGGGAGGGCAGGCAGATGGACAGCAGAAGTGTCAGGGTCTTTCTGGCCAGCGGGTCGGGCGGCCGGCGCTCCTGCCTGTAGTTATGGCAGACAAAGAAGAGCTTGAGCTGGAGCAGGGACAGGAACAAGAACCAAAAGGCGTTGACAAAGCCACGCCTTGGGGAGCGTGCCTCTGACACTACGCCAGCCGACACAAACCGCAGCGCGAGCAGGAAGCCCACATCACCTAGCAACACTGCTGCACACTGCCAGACACCGGGTCCTGAAAGACCATGAGCCCCCAGCATGCTCTGCTCCAGCAGGTAGAGGTCCACCACTGCCATCGTGCTCACTGTGACCAGGGTTGATACGCACACCTGGGGCGTGGGCACCATGCCTGAAAAACACATACGCATAGTTGCACGATGGGAAACCTGTTACAGTGACAGAATTCAAATTCCTCATAGTGCCATCTGCCTCCGGGAAAATCTGCAGGATAAGAACATGTTAGTTTTTTCTAGCACTAATTCAAAACCAAATGTAAAATAGTTTGATGCTTGTTGCTATGGTTAGACACTGGTTGCCGAGTAAGCAGTGAGCGCCCTTCATCCAGAGCTACATCTACCCTGACTGCTCAAGCTAAGAAGCTTGTTAAATTTTTTTTTAACTCTGCGGCTCTTTGAATGAATCTTCATTTCTCATAAAGATCCAAACGTTGCTTCTTTTTGATTCCCAGATTTCCTTAAGTTCTCTGCTGTTGCTTTTTCCTGTTTATTGTTGTGGTTTCTGTTCCTTTTGTGCTCCACTTATTTATTATTAATTGTGTTCAGGCACAGCTACTGTAGGTGCCCTGTCAAAGCCTTTTCTTTGCCTCTATAGGGTGCCATGTTTATTCTCATACTGCGCTGCAGCCTTTAATCATCACAAATTCCCCGCTCATTTCAGATGAATATTGATAACTTTATATTTGTTTAGGGAAGAGTTTGTGTATACACTGTGCACGCCTGAGTGAGCGCAGGCTGGCAATGCTAATTTGAATCAATATAAGGGTTCATTCTTTCTTTTGTTGCAGCTCATATCTCGGCTATGGACAGTATAAACCTCAGTATTGATCTCAGCCTGAGAAATGATCATTGACTTTACAGTGTAATCGAAAAAATGTCTCTTTGTCATATTTAGCTGAAAAGAACAGCACAGACCGCTGGACTGTCTGTTATCTGTTCAGCACCACTCGGGGGTGTCAACTCCTCCACTAGATCGATGCCATTATAATATAAAATCATTGCTAGCTCAGTGTGTCACAATGGCAACAGTTGAACGTGGTCAAGCGAGAGATTGTCAGCATGACTGTGGCCTCTGAGAAAAGTGTGGCAGTGAAAAATGTGTATTGACATCTTGCAGATGGAAGATGCATCACTTCCCTCACTGTAAGACTAACAGGAGTTCTGCTGTCTCCTCTGTTCTGTCTAAATCATTGAAGAGGGCCGAGAAGCTCCACTGGGTAAAAAGGGGTTTAGAGATTGTGTGTGCAGGTGGAGAATGAGCATAAGACTGTAAGTGAAAGATTAATGGGCCTTTTGGCTGTCTACATGCCTTATAAAGTGTTACTGCATGATGGTGATAGTTCATAAATAAGCTGAGGGGAAGAGGGAGTGAAAGTGATGAAGAGGAAAAGAGTCTAACGCAGATAGAAAGTGACTTCCACCCACTTATATGAAGACATGCATTTCATAAGCCAGCTTGGCCTTGATGAGACAAAATGTATTCATGACTGGGGGTATTGAAATACTACAGACATTAGGATGTATTCTGAATCAAAAAGATTGAATCAAAGAAATGAGGAGAGAATAGATCTCAAGTGATTAATTCGCTTGGAGGTATGGTGGGAGGACAGCAGTGCATCATGGTAATATCTGCATGTTAAGCTTTTTGTCTCGCCACACTCTGCAGCTTGATTATCATTAGCCCAAAATCGAATGAATTTCACCAAGCTGCAGATTGAGAGGACATTGGAATTTAAATGTTTTGTTTCTTTTATTTTTATTTTTTGGGGAATAAACCCACTGTGCCCAGAGGCATTGCATAAAGAAGCCTGAAGCCACAAGGAGGTTGTGCTGCTTAGGTTATTCCACCTGCACCTTAAATTTCACCCAGAAAATCTCCCTGTCATCCCGTGTTTGTGTTGTGACTCCCTGTCAGCGCAGTGTAATTTATCCTGCTCAGAGTGAGGGACTGGGTGACAGCCCGTGTGTCCATTCAGCTCATCAATAATGACCAAATTCATCATTCCCCTGTCTGAGAAGTGACACTACTGTTGACAAGGTGAGGCAACCTACATTGGTGTAAGCCTGAGGAATAGCATGTAATGGTGTGCGGGTGAAAGACTGGCTCATTTCTCCCCTCCAGCTCGGGTTCTGTTTAGCTCTGAAACTCATTTATACAGTAGCAATGATCCAAGAAACCTCTTAAAAATTTTTTTTTTTTGCAACATACACTCACTGACAGAGATAAAGGAAGTGGGTGGGGTTGCCACTTGGAGTTGTTTTCTATTAATCTTGGGTGATTTCCAGGTGGACAGAAATCCATGTAAAGCTGAGATTAATTTGCCTACACTCACAGTTTATCTCCCTAAACATCCCTCCAAATTACACCAAAGACAAGATCCTTTACAGGTTATCACAGGTGCACCAAGGGCAGCACAACAACATCCATGCCATTATGTGCAAAGTAATTAATTATTAGAGAAGCAGGCAGTGTGCTGTTCCTGATAATGTAATGCTAAATAAATCCCCTCCCTAGATTAAAGCCACATTGATGGAACATCTGTTGATTTATCAGGTAGCAGCTCAAGTGCTGCCTGAGGGTCTTGTTGCAGTTTTTAGAGTTAACACGTTAGTTTTTTTGTTTTTTTTGTTTTAATGTGGCTATCAAGAGCTGCCCAAGCAGGCAGTGCGACACCTTTGTTTCCCCTGGCAATCTCACAATGCTTATTAACCCGATTCTTTGCAACACCTGTTTCATATCTGTCACATTAACAGCAGGTATTGTGGGTTTATCCGTGCATGGCTGGTAGTGAAGTGAAGATTTAGTTACCCAAACCATTCGTCTTGCACTTGGACTCGATCCTCCTGGCTTGATTTACAGCAAGTGGTGTGTGTTTTCCGAGTGACCAGCAAAGTGTCTTTTATTGTCCTTGATGAGTAGGACTCGGCGATAAAGTCTTATTCTTGCAGCCCGGGTGTTTGCATACAGTAGTGCTCCAGCAGAAGGCTCATCATGAGGCTGGAAGAGGGGAAAGTCATCGTCTCACCGCCACACCAAGCAGACTCGAGTTTGTAGGGGCAAAAAAAAAAAAAACGGCTCATACTTGGCAAGATTTCTTCCTCCGTGCAAATATGGAATGGACGATAGCTCCGTGGTTATTGCTAGAGGCGCGACCTGGATCTGAATCTAGATCTGTCACCTCTGCTGTGCCCGGGTCTGCTGCTGTCGGTTTATCTTTTGACACGGCGGTGTGCACGGAGAGCCGTGCAGGGCTGCTGCTGCTGATGCTGCTCGGGCGGGTTCCGGGTGGGGCGCGCAGCCCGGGAGGTCCGAGTTTGGTTGTGCTATTAATCTGTCAGCATGTTACCTGCTCCAGTCCAGACCTCCCACCCTACTCCTCCTCTCCTCCATCATCAGCTGTGCAAGTTTATCTGGGGGAGAAAAATCCTAATAATAATTTAGAGCAGCCAGTTGCACTGTAGGGATTGTTATGGTGATCACCATGATGCCTCTTACAGAAGATGAGATGCATTGTTTGGGAGCAGGCAGATACCTTATTTACCCTTCCTGGCTTGAAATGAGCGTGGGAGAAGTGGAGCAAAAGAGACTTGTAGCCTGCAGACACATTTAGAGCTCAGAAGGCAGATGTTACAACTTTAATTAGACCTCCTTCTGCCTACTTACTGTCTTAGCCAGACAAAGAAATCATCCCTTTGTTGTAGATTCATTTATTACAGCAGCCTTAAACAGAAGGATTGGGAATTTCTGAGACATCTGGTTGAAAAACGATTCTTTTAGAAACTGTTTTTAAAAAGAGCCACCTGCTTTTCTCATTCAATAATTAAATTTTGGTTCCTTTGTCAGCCACAGATGTGATTAAAAGGAATTTTACAGCGTCACCTTGTCCTCAAGGTCCTGCTTCCTCAAGTGAAGCTGTGGACATTGTAGTCTGCACCTTTTAGCAAAGGCTCAAAGTCCTCAGCTGCCTCGTTGCAGTGGCTCTCAGTGTCCTGAACTCATTTAATAGTGAGAGGTTTAATCAGACTGGTGAGAAAGGCGATGGAGAGTCATCTTTCTTGTCAGATTCAGCTCTGCGCTCCACTGGCTTCCAAGAGAAGAGTTTCCATTTTCCTCACATCATTCTTGCTTTTCTTATTTTTCTTTTTCTTGTTGCTCGTGCCATTCTGTCACCCTGCTCATGTTTATCCCATTCTCTCGTCCATCCTGTTATTATACCCCTCTTGTTTTTGGGTTGTTTTTTTTTTGTTCCCTGTGGCTGTGATTGAAGGTCATTTTGCACACTGGCTTTCAGAGTGGAGATGGGGGGGAATGAAGCAGGAAAAAAGACAGAGAGCGAACAGTGAGAGTAGCAGAGGAGGGCGAGGGGCAGCCAGGCGGCCAGGCTGTCCACAATACTGTGCAGTCATCACTTTTTCCTTCAGACATGATTGAGAAAGTTTGCAAGGGCATATGGGGTTACAGGCTGTCCAAGAATGCTAAAGGCATCAACTGTGAGCCACAGACATGGAGGACTCGAACCATCTGCTTTTCTCCTGTTGGCTTTGTGTCATCTCTGAGTGCAAGGCATGAATTAAATGTATTCCACGGATTTTAGCATTACCCTACAACTTTGTAGGACTCGCAGTGGACAGAAAAAAACCCCCACCAGATTCTTCAACCAAAGATATCACCATTATTCCATGCATTCTTCTTCTTCTTGCCATGGTCAAAACATGGTGCTGACATTCCCCGGAATGCAAAACAGTTTTGTCCAAGATTTGGGTGATTTGTGCCTGTAGTCTCTAGCTTCAAGCGGTGATGAGAACCAGGTTACAGACGTCTATTAAATTCCCTACTTTCCATGTCTACGCCTTCACATTTTTTAAATTTTCAGTCTTGTAGTCCTCAACATCAACCAACACTGACTCAAGTAACATCAGCCGAGTCAGTTTATCAGACTTGACATGAGTGGAGTGGGCAGAAATTGCATTTTGGGTGGGCCGATACAAAAGTGGATGTGCCAGGTTTTCCCTTAAAAACTGCATGTTAAACCAGCAGGGCACAACATATTAAAGCTGCAAACAACAGTATAGATAAAAACCTGTGCAGCCTAAAATTAATTTGCAGGCGAGTTTTACGTTTCTTCTGTTATTACAACATGGCGCTTAACAAAATCTGAAGCTAAAATATCAGGACCGGTGCGAACACCTGCAGCTCATGCAGTCATAACCATATAATTAACCTTTTTATTACCCAGTGGCAATTAAACATAAACAGCAGAGCATGTTAATGAAGACAGAAATGTCCCTGATGCACTGGCACCGTTGTTGGTTCAGTACTACTGCCAACTCACGGAACAACTACAAATGCACAAACAGCTGTTAACACAAAGCAACAATAAGAGAAAATCCAGATGGGAAAGAAAACAGCCAGTCAAGCATTGTTTGAATTAACATAACACAAACTTCATTTCTGTTGCATTAACGATAATTTACAATGCAACCTGGTTGAAACACTAACATTTGGATTTTGCGCAAGAGACGATTATCCCACTAACAATAGGCTAAGAACAATTTAAGTTTAGCTAAACACCATGGTTGAGGTTCCTGTGGTGATTAATCCCACTGAACATGCAGTTCTTTTTAAAGTGTGTGTAGATTGTTTTTTGCCATGGTTTCTATATTCATATACATGCAATTCAAGTGTAGCCAGTATTCCCTCATTGTATAATTTGAGTTTTGGGCTGTTCGTTCCCTTTTCCAAAGTGTTTCTGTAAGCTCCTCTGTGTTTTTTTTTTTTTTTTTTTGAGTGTTTCCATTGCGTGACTGAACACGCCCCCAGCATGAGCCACACACGAGATGTTACGCTCTGCAATTTAAGTGTAGACATGGGGTCAGTCTCCTCGCACCTTACCTCCTATAGGTACTTTCCACATTATGATGACACTCAGCTGGCTGGGAAACGGTGTGAGTGGGCTAGTGCCACCCAGGCCCATTGCTGGCTACGTGCCAGCTTCACAGAGCTCCTTCTGGAGCAACAAAAAGGCTTTATACAGCTTTTTTCACATATGCAGTAGTACTCCACAGAACCTGTAACCTGTGGAAAATCTGCGGATATACCCTTTAAATGGCACCTTTTTTTTTTTTTTATGGAAAAATCCATATATTGCAACACACACTTTGTTAAAACATCACTATCAGTTGTTGCTGCAGTCCCCTGCCTCTCCTTCTTAGTGCATCTCCCCTGCGTTTGTCAGCTTATGTTGTGATTTTACAGCCGTCTCCAGCATGGAGCCTCAGCTGCTGCAGTTCAGACTGCTGTGTGTCTGCTGTAGCCTCCTCACATGATTTATCATGTGAAGTGGCGAAAAGCACAACACTGTCAAGACAGTGCGGGGGGCCTGATGGAGTTGAAAATTGGATGTTTTGTCTTGGTGCGATCCATTTTGTTCCACTATGGCCTGCTCGCTTGCTTCCACCCTCAAGTCTTACTTCAAACATCCAGTTCTTCTTCTTGTGCCAGGTACAGAAAGTGAAGGCTGTGTCTGTTTTAAGCAAAGATCCAGACAGCAAAAACACTGCTGAGATGCTTTATTGTTATTAAGAGGAGTCCCTGAATTCAGTTTGCTGTGTTAATTCTGCACATATGCCTGTTTTAACAGTGCGCCTCAGCTCTTTTATGCAGGGCTGTACACCACCCTCAGAACAGTTCACTGGAGAGCAGGGGTGAAAATCGTTTTCATTTTCTGCTTTTAAGACTAATCCACTGATTCCAGGGTGCAAAATCAAGTAAAATGCATGTCCAGGCTGAACTCAATTTATTCTGTGCTGTTTGCTCTGTGCGACTGTGTCTGTTGGACCCAGACTGGCCTGCCGTTCAGCCTCTCACTCTGTTCCCTCCTCTGCAGCCAAATAAGGGTTCAACATGAAACCTAATCAGCTGTATGACGGTACAATGGGGCTGAAAGTGATAAAATGCCAACACTGGAGCAGATTAAATGAACAAGGTAATGAAGGTAATGAATGAGAGTGTTTCACGCTGAAGAGTTTAATTAACCTCGCCTCCCACCAGCCTCTCGGTGCTGTAACACCTTCGTCACCATATCGCAGCCCTCCTCTGTGTCGACTTCACGGGGCAATTTATCCACTGGCCTTGAGTGCTAGGGGCAATTAATCCTGCATCCTGCCCCGAGGCCATATCCTGCGTCTGTGTCCTTAATTTCCGTGTTTGCCACGCTTCCATAAGCACAATGCTCCTCTTGACCTATTCTCCTTCTTGTTCTCATCTCTTCCCTGCATCTCCTCTTCCCTCTCCTCCCTTTTTCTTTCCCTCCCTCATTTTTTTCCCCTGTTCTCTGATACAAAGACACCTGCGACCACACACGGTGAAAACTTGCTCACAGTCAGCAGTCCCAAACAGCTTAATATGCACACGTATCCTCTCTTCATCTGATAGTCTTGTCAGATTGAAATGAGGCCGAAGCATTCATACATAAACATACTCGCACACTCACCCATATTCATGAGGACCTCCTGCAGCCTTCTCTTTACTTGTCTTCGCTGTCGTCGTTTCCCTGGGTCCAACAAACCTCAGCTCTTTGTTCAAATATTGACCGTGGACACTGGCCACATTCTGACAACTTTAATACACCTCAGCTGTCTCTCTCTTTCCCATCCCCATCTCTCTGCCCCTTCTCCTGTGCACGCACCATCCTGCCACACCAGTGCTTGTTAAAAAGAGTTAGTGAAGCTGAAAGGCCAATCACATTAACACGAAGAGAGTGTCAGAAAGACCGCAGAGAATATGGTAGAGGGGTCAATTCACACGGACACTTCTCAGATTTTAATTGCAAATGCGTAATTGCTCCCATAATTATGAGTAATAAGACTCTACCACACTGATTTTGAATGGATTGCTGCAGGACCTGACGATATAGTTTGGTAGATTAGATTAGATTTAATCCCGGTGCCCAGGATCTTAAAAGTCTTTGAAGATGTGCAGCTAAATGTCCTCATCCGCAGTCGGCATGGAAGGCCCCGCCTTGGCTGATGGGCTGCAGCCATTTTATACTGGAGAGTGTCAGTCATGGTGGAACAGAGTGGATTTATCCAGCAGCTTGGACTCAAGGATGATTAGATGCTCAGATGCAGTTAACGCTTTGGCCAGTTCTCCGGTCGTCTCTCTCTGATAAATGTCATGAGCAGTCGGAGGTGCCAACCTTGAACCTTACTTTGATGGCACACCAGCCCTCTGCCACATTAAAAGACTGTCATCCCAATACCAGCATGGTCCAGTTGGCATAATTATTGCAGTTAAACTATAAAGTTGCCCAAGACCAAAATAAAACTTGTTCACAATGTCATCTTCAGAGGCTGAGATCCCTGGATTCTAGTGAAACAACTTAATTAAAATATGATTACCTGTCCCTGGTGCATACTTAACCCTGTGCAGAGCTCAAGGCAAACTGTCTGCTGTCCCCGAGTGGGTTGTGTCTCTCATCCTAAAGCCAGTCTTTTCTCTTTATTTGCTTATCTTTAGCCTTTTTTCATGTTTGTTCAAGTCCTCTATAGCATTGAAAGGACTGTCTGGTCAGGCAAAGGCCATGTGAAGTCTTTTCTTCTATCTATCTTTAGCGCACTTGCTCCTCTGTCTGTATAATGCCTCACTTTCCGTGCTTAAACACATTTTAGAAACACGAGACATTAACTGTGCTTGGTCAGGGAGACCCTTTCATGGCATTATGTGGCATTAAAGGGCTGGGTCGGCGATGGAGATCATTATCCGACATGGGCTGAACAGAAGGAAATGACTGGGAGCTGAATGTGTGAGGTGGAGCCTGGGGGTTTGTGTTGACTCATACCAAACATCACAACCTTTATATTAATCCACATTTAATACTTCAGTGCTCCCTCCCTGCTTGTTTACCCTTGCTATCTTGTTTTATAGGAGGCAGAGGGAGGGCACGGGTAGAAGATGGTGCAGTTCACGTGGGATTACTATTAATAAGCATGGGAGGGGAGGTAAGGTAGAAAATAGCGGGAGCCTCTGGGGACAAAGCTGCCTTTCTTTTCATTAGTACGATATTGTAATTCAAATAGCACCCATCAACGCTGAAACAATAATCTGCCACGGCTCGTGTGATGTGTTGAAATTTCAATCAGTTTGTGTTTGTGGATGCACAGAGACGTCGGTGAGAGTGAGCAGCATTTTAGACGCTAACGATGTGATAAGGTCGTAAAGATTGAGCGACTGATTAGCATTCATTAGGTGCTTGTGAAGCCTTTAGTGTCGATGACGTTCAGAGAACTTTCTGCTCTGTTAAGTTCAAATGAATGTTTCCCCATCATGTCATTGAAGAATGTCCCAGGATGACTGACTTGTCATCAGATCCATTATTAGAATTTGAGCCCTGTGCTGTGCAGTGTTGTGGAGCAATAGGTGCTTGTGAGTCCATTAAACTCATAAAATCCCCTTCCCCCCCTTCTCCTCGTTTCTGAAATGAGCATTTCAATCAGTGGTGTTGCCTTTGGGAAGAATGGTGGGTGAAGGTCAGTTTAAATTTCAGCAGTAATAATTAGGTTCTTTATTAATCTTTGCCATTGAATTCAGCTCCAAAGAGGAATGGTGCAGAGGAGTAGCGCTGGCCGGGTGTTGACTTAATGTCACCCATCCATTTTGCTCTCGCTCTGGTTGGCCTCGCAGGAGCTGGAAAATGGGAGGCTCATTCATCATTGGTTTCTCTGGCTCTGGGCACCAACATGCATTCAGTCATATAGTGACAGACACATACACAGTCTGTCTAGAACAACAGAGGGCTGCACACACAAACACACAGCTCCATGTTACAAGAATAACTAGTATGAAGTGTAAAAATGACTCTACCAAAATTTTACGACACACACATATTTACAATATCTCATTCATGTGTGTGAATATAGTCAGACCGTTCTGAAGCTTTGTGATTGATTGACAGAAGCTCAAGTGTCTGTATTCTGGCAGCGCAGTGTGACACAAGTGACATTCAGCTCAGTGTTTGCATGCTCAGACTCCTCATACATTTTAAAGAAATCCTCCACCACTTTCCCATGTTTATTCCCCTCCTTTCTTCTTTTTTCCTCTTTCTCTCCAGAGAGGAATCCCCATTGGGCAGTTCTGCAAGGACTTCAATGAGAGAACCAAGGAGCTGAAGGAGGGCATCCCTCTCCCAATCAAGATCCATGTGAAGGTGTGTTTGTGTACCTCATTGTTGAGCTTTCTCACCCATCACCGACCCTTTATACTCGGCGCCTCTCCCTCCCACGATTATGGTTAATTTCACTAACTGCATAACATTACCAGAGCACTTCCATTATTCATACTCTACCACTGAAGTAAGCCTTTCCATTTGCATTCATTAATGAAGCAATACCCAGAGGAAGTTGGAGTCAAGAAGCATTAAGTGCATGCAAGAGAAGTGAATTACTCAGAAAAGAGGTGTTGTCAAGCTTGTAGGTTTTGTTTTACACCCCTCCAACAGCACCTCTTGTGTTGTTTTAAATCAGGATTTGCAGCTGAATAAATGTGTGTTGGGAGCACATTTGTGATGTAACACCAATCCTTTAAAAGACATGAATTTAGTTTGATATGCAATATCCTGCAACAGCTCTGCTGTCACATCAGGGGCCTCTCTGCTGCCTCTCAGCGCCATCTGCTGGTGCTTTGCAGTGTTGTGCTTGTTCCACTCACACTGTGATGTTTAATGTGTGCATGCATCATGTTTTAGCCTCTGAGACAAATGTTTCTCAGCTGCCTTTCACCTCAGACTCATCAGTAGATGAACACATCTTGAACACATCTCATAATGCTTTTCATCTTATTCAAAGGAACATTTTGGGAAATTTGCTTATTCACACAGTTAGATGAGATCATGTCTTTAAGTAGGGAACTAGGCCAGGGAAGGAGTTAGATTATCCATATTCAAAAATCAGCCTACCAGCACCTCACACCAAATAACATTGTTTCTCATTGGTTTAATCGATACCGACATGTAACAATACTAAGAGTTTACAGTCATGATGGCAGCTCTGTGAGGCTGTACTGGGTCACAATGGCACTTTCAGCTAAATGCTAACTTTAGCATTCTAATAAGCTGCCATTTAATTGGCACTATACATAAAGTACAGCTGAGGCTGATAGGAACACTATTCATTTTGCAGGATTGTGATGTGGGGAGATCACCAAAGCTATTACTTTTCATCCTGAAGGGGACATTAATGAAATTCATTTCACGTTTCATGGCAATCCATCAAAGAATCATCAGTGTCCATAAAACCATACTGCAAGCATGGTTACAAATGACAAGTTTAGGCTTTACAGGGAGTGTCAAAGCTACAGTACTTCACCAAATTTTTTTTCAGTCTACTGGGTTTAGTGAGACATCAAAAACCGCTCCTAATTGCTCTTTGCCCCTCCCATCCTGTCAAAAACTGTACAAAATGCAGCCTCCAATCCAAAGCTAGCATTAGCTGACTAATGACTGATCCTGTAGGACACTCTAGTTACTGCTAATGAGACATGAAGCACTAACGTCACACAAAGCTCCAGTTACTCCCACATTAGAATCATATTAATTCAGTACAATGGACCTCATTCACCAGCATCTTCCTAAGCTTTTTCTTACATTTGTTCTCAATTAAGGTCCTGAGAAAAGTCTACATCTGCTTTGTGAACATGTTCTTATACCGTAGAGTTGTTTCACACCTGTGTTCTTACAGTGATCAATCCCATTGTCATAAGTTGAAAATGCGTGTCAGTTGTTCCTTATTAGCACAGGTATACTTCCTGCCAATTCTCATAAAAGACCATGAGACTGCAGTACGCACACACAAGTTGAAAAGAAAATTTGATGAAGTCACGCTGCTACAACAAAAATCTGAAGACAAGAAAAAAATTGAGTAGTGAAGAACAGCAAAAACCTGTTATAGGCTATGTACTGTAGTAGCATCAGTAGTGGATATACAATTTTAAAAAAGCATGGGCTGCTCTTACTGGTTCAGTGAATACTGTATATGGAGAAGGGCACACAACTAATGAAGGAAAAGAATGGTTTGATCTCAGACCTGAGGCAACAAAGCAAACAGAAGAGAGACCAGTGGAGGATGACGGGCTGATCCAGAGTTATCTGAGCTGGACCAGTGGATCGGGGCCATGCACAGCTCTTTCCGATGTGCCGTCCACTAGGTGTACAGTACCTCCATGTGTGCACCAAGGTCCTGTCCGACTGCCTCACGTCTGATCTCAGATGCGGTTCTGAACAACCAAACTGTTACAGAATACAGATGGCCTCAACACTGGCCACAATATCTGAGACATAAAAAAAAAACAATAAATAAATAAATAATAAAGACATGCACTTAAACCCATTTAGTCTTTAAGTAATGCTTTTCTTAATTCTAAACTATAATCACGCTGTAAAAGTCACATTAATTTTAAAACCTTTATAAATGAGTGATTAATTGCTTAGTGTAAATTTTAGTATTGCATTTAATTTTAAAACACCATAATGCATTGTAAAATAATGAAAGTAATTATTTTAAATATTAATAATGATAAAAATGTTATTCCAACTTAAATCTTATAATATTAAGCAAATTGAAGAAAATAGCCAGTTATTTCACACACATATTGTATGTCAGCACTCAAAACTCCTAAGTGTCCTGAGTGTGTGTGTAGATTCAGTTCTTACTTAAGAACAAATCCCAGATAAAAAAACACTGAATGCCAGAATCTTTGTGAAAACTTTGTGAGTTTTAAGAATAAATTTATCCTTAAGAACGGTTGGTGGAAGAGGCCCAGTGTGTAAAATCTTAGTTAATGCACGTTTAAATATTTCTTGGCAAACAGAGGCTAGGTCCAGTGATGTCCTGGTGTCGTCTTGTCACAGATGTTGCCAAGCAACAATTTATTATTTGTTTATGGATTAAGCATCCTGTAAGTGTTGCCACACTGTCCCCTCCTCTTTCTTTCTTTGATTTTCTGTGTTTTAGTTTGTCTTTTTGCTTCTCAGGTGGCCAGGTGGAGTAAATATGCTTGTCTAATTTTAAGACACAGAGGAGCAAACAACAGCAACTCATTGGTCCTTTACAACCAAGAGAAAAATTCTGTTCCCCAATTCAAAAGGTCATTTCTGTTAGATATCGTGACTCCGATGACAAATCACCTGCTGTGGTATCTTCTCAGCTCAGCCTCCAGCTTATTGCCCATGTTTAGGTTTTATGTTTTTTTTATGTGACAGATAACAGATGATCTAAAGTAAATGTTCTTCAAATGATTTATTGATTGGATCTGTATGTTAGATTTTGGTTGGTAAAGGTCTCCACCAAGGGGATAATTCTGAATGAAAAGAAAAGGGTCAGTGAGAATGAAGAGATTATTTTTATTTTAGTCCTAAGGGGAGGATGGAAAGGTCAAGCAAATGAGGCTGCAGAGCAGATGTGCAGCAGCACATTGCTGAACATGCTGGGACTAGATAATGCAGAAACCTCATGCAAATGCCTCAGGTTACTTCAAGGCTTGTCATTAATTATGAGTGTCCACGTTATTTTAATTGTCTTTAAAGCTGATCAGTATTTTATATGAACATTGGGTTCAGTGACTACACAGATTTATCAATTGGAGGCATCGTTTTAATTTTAAAACAATTTTACCGTTTTGGTTTGCCCTCGATGCTCCGTACAGTACCTGCCCAGCACCACATCGTAGACGGTCAAAGTTGGTGACTAGCTAATGAGCATTTAGCAGCTAGAGAGGCTGATATTTCCCTCAGTAGGTGGTGGAGAACAAAACAGAGCTAAAAAAGAGTGTTACTATTTGACATATTGTGAATGAATGATAATGTTGCTTCATATCTGCTGGATGTGTTTGCTCACAGGTTTGTCACAAATGGGAACATGTACATTAGTCTCAAATTAATACAAACGACAAACCTCATAATTAGTAATAGGTTTGGCACCGACCATCAGAAATAAGAGCTGTGAGTAAAGAATTCTGATTGTTGTTGCATGGCTCTGGTTTCTGTTATAATCCCTAATGCGATAACCAACAGTTAACAAGGAATTGATTCCACTGAGTAAAAGACAATGGAGGAGGTGCTGAAGGAATTTTGCCACTGATGAAAGAGAAGCAGGTTCTCCTGATGCACATGTTTAGGTTTACTACTATCTCTGGTGAAAGGGAATGAGTTCTCCAACAAAACCACTTCATTAAAGACTGTGAGGACGACAGGTGAGCAGTCAATATGCATTCACCTTAACTTTAATCATCTAGCCTTGATGATAATGGCTTTTTAACTTTTCAAAGTCTAGCAAAGCAATTTCTGTTGAATGTGAGTAGATCTTTAATGAGTTTAGCAACTCTTCGATAGCAGCACAAGATACATAAAAACAAACACTAATTACAAAACAAACACCATAAAAAACTGCATAACAATAAAATACAATATAAAAAGGTTCAAGTACTCTGAAAATCTAAAAGTAAAAAAACTTGTAGTGCATCCAAGCTGTAGACACTTCAGATCTGTTGAACACATTTGAAAAGATTTTCAGCCAAAGGCAGCACAACAGGGGAGCGCAGTGACTGTTTCTACTCAGTAGAAATATGTTCTAATCATGTTTGAAGTTTGCCATCTAATTTCAGTTATTATAATTCCATCTTTCATAGAAAAAGGTGGTGCTGTGCTGAGGGAATTGTGACCTTAGTGCTTTTAAAATCCTGACTACAATGAGATGATTATTCTGTGAAACTATTGTATGTGCCCACCTTGGATCATGGGCTTTAATTTTAATTCCTCTCTGTCTCCGCAGCCTGACAGAACCTATGAGCTGAAGATCGGCCAGCCCACAGTGTCTTACTTCCTCAAGCAAGCAGCAGGCATTGCAAAGGGGGCCGGTAGCACAGGTGTGCTCCTGAACTCATGCACTGTATCTGCTCTCTCTCCAGTTTTCACCCACTGAGTCTGTCTTGTAATGGACACCTTCCTCAATGGGCATCGGTTTTGAGCTTCGCTGTGATTGATGTTATATTCATGACATGCAGGGGAACCGCAGCAGAGGAAGGAAGTGGCAGAGCTGATGTGTTAAGAAAAGAGAATTATGGATGGCCTCCTTTTGTGCTTCCAGCTGTCTCTAGCTTCACTTCACCTGTTGACTCCTAATACTACCCTTGTACTCTCTCCAAACCACACACCTACACACACACATACCCCCACTTTGTACTCTTTTGTGCCAGACTTTTCCTTGTACAGTTATTGAATTTTTCATTCCCTCTACATTCCCTCTATAATTCACACTTTGCTTTCTCTTTTGTGTGTGAAGGCCATGAGACAGCAGGGATGGTATCAGTGAGGGCAGTGTATGAGATCGCCCAGGTGAAAGCTCAGGATGAGTGCTTCAAGATAAGGAACGCCTCCCTCCAGACGGTCGTAAAAAGCATCATCGGCTCAGCCCGTTCACTGGGAATTAAGATTGTAAACGAGTAAGTCCCGTTTCTGTGCTCGCTGCACTGAAGTCCTCATCACGCCATAAACCAGACCTGTGTGCTTGTTAGTTGGTCAGAGCAGATTATTAGTGTGCATAAAGTGATTTAAAAGAATGAGCACAGACACAACTGAATACACATATAACCAGCAAGAGAGTGATCCCGATTCAGTGTCGCCTGTGGACATAGCTGTAGGTCCAAACGGCCATTAGACATAGATGGATTACTAAACAGGCCTATCACGCGCAGGCCCAGGATCCTAAACCAGAGAACCGTAAACTGTGTAGGCACTGTTTAGTCTGACTTGACAAAAAAAACCCACAAAATGAGAAACATAGATGTAAAACAACTACAGAGATGAAAAACCACTAAAAAGAGACACATTAACTAAAAAGAAATGGAAAGGACCCCAAATATAAAAGAATGGCTTATAATGTATGCAGAATGATAAAAAGAGACACAAAAGAACTACAAAGAGATGCAAAACAGCTAAAGTAGACAAGTAAAAAATGAAACAGATACAACTGGAGACAAAATGGCTACAGCAGCCGCAAAAAGACTACAAAAGGAAACAAACAAACCGCAAGAACACACAAACTGACTTCAAATTACATCACTCTATGAGTTTTACTCCTCGAGGTGCAGGAGAGAAGGGTTGGGATGTCACCATTGTGTGCCGTTTTGTTTTTTAAATCCCTTATTTAGCCAGGAAGGTCCCGCTGAAATAGAAGATCTCTCCTTCTTACAAGTTGAATCACATACCTTACCAAAAAAATAATAAAATAGAATAGCAAGAAGTGAATAGGGCCATACCAGTGCTATCCATGGTATGTTTCACCTCAGGTCAAGGACTGTGTAAAACAGCAATGTGTTTCCTTCAGGGCAGGTGGTAACAGACCTTTAAAGATATTCAGAGAAGGGAGTGTTTCTGAAGTAATGGGGGTTTTGCAGCCCATTCCATGCCCAGAGTGCATAAAAAGAGAAAAGTTTCGCCAAGCTCAGAGTTCATTCTGGGAACATTAAAAGAATGCGAGTGGTAAATCTGGTGCTATAGCTGCTTGTGTAATAGGATAAGCGACTGGATATGTAAGTAGGTAGTTAACAACAAGTAGCAACATAAGCAGTTTTCTTCCTTGGTGTACCATCTTAAAGACTCATATAAAATGCGGTGGTGAGTGCATGAGCCTATGCTCGTTACAAAGCATAATGCAGCACGATATACAGAATCCAATTTTTTTTAGTTGGGATGAAGTTGCATGCATATAAATTGTGCTGAGCTCTCTCTGGAGTGTGTGGATGTACTTGGCTATTATACCAGACACACTCGGCGATACAAGCTGTCGGACTTGTGAAGACCTCTTGTCCGTTATTTTTGTAGTATTTTCCTATACAGTCTCATTATTTATTTATCCATGTTAAATTTATGTTCATTTATTCCTGTGTAATACAGCGGCACACTGCGTATTTAGGCTACTTTAAGCAAATAAGTGCAAAATGAAATTTTAATATTTAAGAGCAGAAGCAGTTTGGTTGTCCAGCAGTGTAATACTTGTACCTAATCCTCTATCTGTGCCCAGGGGCCCATTGTGTCATAGTGAGTGTTTTCATTGGACAGATAATCTTACCATAAAAATACTTACCATTATACCAATACAATATACAATATTTAATGTTCTTGTGTACCTTCTATGATCAAGCATAATTCAGTATATAGTTACATTTAGTGTATAGCTTTAGTGTTGTTGTTTGTGTTTTTGCGACCAATTTGATTCGGCTGTTGTAATGATGTAATTTGCCACCAGAAGGTTTTCAGGTATGTTCAGCATCTGTCTGTGGGTGAGGTTTTACTTTATGGTGCAGTTGTTATAGATTACAAACGGTGGTGTGAAGTGCGCTTACTGTTTTGCAGCAGCACTCTCCTTATTCAGAATAGCATGAATACAAACATGAGCACCTGACGTTAACAAGCCAGTCCACTGCAGAAATTAGAGTCTGAAGAACTGCTGTCGAGTCAAATCAACAACTCTCTCTGGACATCCGGGGGGACCTTGTAAGGTGCATACTCTGCGATAATAATTGTTGTGCTTCCTGTCTGTACTTTTACAGTGATGTATTCAACACAGACAAATGTACAAAAATCCTTTAAAAAGCAGCCACTGAACAGCTCTATAACACAGTAGCTGTGTCCTGATTTACTTCCACTAAATCTCAGCGTGTTGTGTGTGTGTGTGTAGTGCGTTTACACTGGGAAAGTAAACTACTCAAAACTCAGTTTGCATATTGAAAACCTTTTGATTTTTGAGTGTACTGTTGGTGGAATCTCAATGCACAAAGGGTATGGAGGAACTATTCACGCCTGCAAACTATAAATATAGTGGGTGGTGGTAAAACAGCTTTATGAACACAAAATATCTTCTAAACCTGTGGAAAATAATTTTGCCGTTCGTGCAGTTGTCATTAGCAGTGACATTTCAGAGTCGCAGTTTCATGTATCACTGCACATTTTAGTCCTTTTAGTATAAAAACAATTAAGTATGGTGATGTTTTTGTGTACTACTTGCATTTTTTTTTTTTTACTGGTTCCAGCTTCTCAAATGTGAGAACTCAATGCTTTTCAGTGTTTGATATTACTGGTTTTGGACCACTGATGGAATAAAATGACATTTGAAGGCGCCTTCTGTGACGTTAGGGAACCTGGGATACGTCTAGAGTGTGTGTATGTACAAAATACCATCAGTGTGTAATATGGAACTGGGGTACAGAATTCAGCACAAATGTGAAAGTAGTCAACTTCTGAAAGATCCTCATGCTTTTGGAACATTTCAGACTTTCCAGGTGTGACATCGCTCACCCACCCTGCAGAAGTGGAAAGTAGCCAGGTACATTTACTCAAGTACTGTGCTCAAGTACAATCCTGAGGTATCTGTTCTGTATTTGAGTATTGTCTTTTTCTGCTACTAACTTCACTCCATTTAAGGGAAAAATGTTGTACTCCCCTACATTTATTTGATAACTTAAATTACAAGTTGACAGCATGTTCGGGGCAGTTGCCTTACAGCAAGAAGGTTCTTGTTTCAAGCCCGGGCTGACCTGGTGCCTTTCTGTGCGGAGTTTGTATGTTCTCCCTGTGCCTGCGTGGGTTCTCTCCGGGTGCTCCGGCTTCCTCCCACAGTCCGAAGACATGAAGCTTAGGTTGATTGTTGACTCTAAATTGCCCCTCCGAGTGAGTGTGAGTGTGTGTGGTTGTCTACATGTCAGCCCTGTGATAGACTGGCGACCTGTCCAGGGTGGACCCCGCCTCTTGCCCACTGTCAGCTGGGATTGGCTTTACCCACCTTGCGACCCTCTTCAGGATAAGCGATATAGATAATGGATGGATAGTTACTTTTCAGAAAGAGGTTAATAAAACAAAATACAGTATAATCACAAGATTGTAATAGTAATTCAAATTATAAGCATGTAAGGTAGTTAAAGCTAGCTCTGCCTTTACCAGCTGCAACATTAAATGTGATGTACACAATAAATCAATCAATAATTATAAACAAATATGCTGTACATGAGTGAAAATGGTGCCATTTTGCATGATAAGTACTTTTACTTTTGGTACTGTAAGTATACTTTCTGTCAATACTTTTGTACTTTAACATTTTGAATGCAAGACTTTTACTTATAACAGTATGTTGTAGTGTGGTATTTCTGCTTTTACTTAAGTAAACAGTACGAGTACTTCTTCCAGTCTCACCCTGCACATTTACTTGTCTTCTTATTATTTTGCCAAGAGCTGTTTTAGTTCAGTATTCAAGCGCAGCCTCATTCCCTCAACCTGCCGCTGCTGTGTCTACTCCACATAATGATATTGTACATTTCCCAGAATCCCTTTCTCCCCCTTACTTAAACCTTTAACATATCTCACAGCTGAATTGCATTAGGATTTATTGAGAGCGCTGTGAGCAGAGAAATTGTGTGTCTGCCACTTTTACAATGAATTTCTCCCTGAGTAGGTGTTGAACATGGTTACACTGTGGCAAGTCCAGAAAAGAAGCCATAGCTCTTTAAATCGGGTGCAGGTAGCTGAAGGATTTTCTGCTAGGAAGTTGAAATTTCTGCTTTTGAACATCACTGTATCTCCAGTGGAGATATGTTAATGTTTTCTTTTAAATCATCAACTACAAAATGACCAGAATGCCATCCATAACATTTTGTCGTTTAACTGTTTTTGTGTTTTACTGTTAAGGGTAACTGGACACCATGTTTCTTTCTTTCTTTCATGCTCTCCTTCCTTCTCTTCAGCCTCTCAGCTGATGAGTACAAAGTCTTCCTGGAGCAGAGGGAGGCGAAGTTGAAAGCTGATGCAGAGGCGAGCTGATGCAGTCAAGAAATGACAACCGGCCTTCAGCATCTAACGCCGATACCCCATTCCTATTTATATTGACTTTTTACATATACCACATTCATACAGAAACGCTTACTGTTGTGTGTCAGATCTTAATAAACAGTCAGATATTATTTGATTTATTTTTCTGTCTTCATTTACATCTGATTTTAATAATTTGTTTAGAGCAAATTGTTTGGTTTGAATATCGTAGAATGATATAAGAGGTGTTAAATCAACATGTTGGCAACAAAACCATCCACTTACATTTTGAAAATATTTATGAGCTTGAGTGTTTCCTCTCCTCCGAGCTGAGCTAATGAAAGTGTAATTGCTCAGTCTTGGAAGGATCCAGTCTCTTCGATGTTATTTATTTTTAACACTTCTCGCAGTGATTTGGCTTTTTGTCACGTTGTGAAGATGGTTTCCTGTACATTTCACACACGTCTTGGATCTGTCTACCGCAAAAATCAATTGGACTAGGGATGGGGTGATTACTTGGTATTATTTACTTTGAAATGTCATGACATAACATGTATTCAAGAACTTACATGATTATCATGTTGGTCTACAAATTTTGTGTCCAAATTCAAAGATGATACTAAGCACAAAAAGTAATTATAAACAAAACGTTTAAATGGTGAATTCCTAACGTTTTTGTTTTGCATCTTTAAAAGCTTTGGTCTCCTGTCATGCACAAAAAGTAGTGTTGCAACATAGTCATGGTCAAGCAAAGTAATTTGTCAAATAACAATGCCAACAGTTACCTGGTTACAGTCTTTACACATGTTATGTGCTGTTTTCTGTTTAACATCATTGGGTTTTATTGACCAGCATCTTCCTAAATTTCTTTGTAGGTTGTTCCTAAGAAAACTCTACGTTCCTAATTAGCATATGTCAACGCCCCACCAATGCCCATAAAAGGGCATGAGGCTGCAGGGCCGTGTGCACACATCTCAGAAACAGAAAAGAGAAGTTGAAAAAGCCCAGAATGACTCGACTAAATTCTAATGACAGTGGAGCAACTATCTCCAAACCGAAGAAAAACTTGTGAAGCGGAGAACAGCAATGAGCTGCCGTATTTAGTAGCGTCAGTAGTGGAGATAAAATAGAAGAGACGCGCGGGATGCTCTTAAACAGTACAAGGAGAAGGATGCACAACTGATGAATTAAAATTTAGTTTGATCTCAAATCTGAGGCAACAAAATGAACACGAAAGAGATGCGCTGACCGGCGGAAGAGGACAGTCTGGCCAAAATATCTTAGAAAACTCACAGGAAATTCAAAAAAGCACTTAATCATGTTTGGTTTTTAAGTCATGCGTTTCCTAATTCTAAGATACAAATAATCACACTGTTAAAGTTCATTTTAAAACCTTTAAACTTTACCTTGTTGTGATTTTTACTGCTGTTTTTATAGGATTTAAAAGACTAATGCTTTGTAAAATAATGGGGAAAATTTAAAATAGTAATAATGACAAAACTGTTACTGCAACTTAAATCTTATAGGCTAATATTATATAACTGAAGAAAACTAAATAGCCAGTTATTTAACACAAACATGTCATCACTCAAATGTGTGTGAGTATGATGTTCTTACCTAAGAACAAATCCCAGGTAGGAAAAGTTTGGGGAATGCCAGTATCTTAAGGGAAACTTAAGTCTGTTCTCAGAACAAATTTGTTCTTAAGAACGGTTGATGAACGAGACCCGCTGCCATTTTTACACTTTTGTGATATTTGTGACGATATGTGTCAGTGACAGTTGCATTGCCTAGAACATCAGTAAGTCAATAAGTATTCCTGCATTTTTCATGTCGCCATACACTGTGTATCGAGGCCGAGATATAGGTTTGCATTGTTTTAAAAATCTGTATTAATCTGTAGTCATATACTTATACAGTATGGACTGTATACATTCAAAACCTCATTGGTCAGTTCTGATCTTTCCAGGATGGAAACTCGCTGCCATCTGTGTGTGTGTCAGAGAGTGAGTACTTAAACTGTATGTACAGTATGTAGGCATTTGTTTAGTACAGATTTTCACCATTGTGTTGACTATGTCGCTGTCTGAGAAAGTGGGAGTGTGTGTTCAGTTCCACTGTGGACAAGAGGGGCAATTTCAGCAACCAAAAGCTCCAATGTACAAATGAGCTTGTGAGTACTGTTCAAATCCAGATTTTGAAAGTGAACCTTAATGTCCTGATAATGATCTTAACCATATGACCCAGAAATGGAGCTTTGAATAGTGTCATTTGGATTTTTATTAAATCTGAAATATTATTTTGCCACACAAAGACAAAATATATGTATAGAAATCTATGTGCACACGCTTTCGTTACCTTGTCCTAACGTGGCTTCTTCCACAACTGTGCTCCTTTCTCCTGCAGTACTTGTATTTGCCAGGAGATGGCAGCAGTCAGCCGTGCAGTACTTCCTCCACTACCCGTCTTCACCACAAAACTACAGCAGCTCCTGATGGAACAAAATGTTCACTTGCTCAGAAACAAATATAATGTTCGGGGCTTTGTTTCATTTCATATATAATTGGCTATTAGTCTGTATGTCCAGTGGCACAGATAATGACAGTGGCAGAAAAGATATTACGGGCCTTAATCCATAAAACCCACCCTCAGGTTTTTTCTAACAACAGAACATTAATTATCTGTTTTTTCTATGATATTAGTAATGTCACCTTTCTATCATGTGGTAACAGAACATCAGTTTGTCCCACATCCCTCTGTACTGTACCTCTAATTTTAGCCACCCCTCACTCATTCTTTGTCTCCCCCCTCTCTCCAGCCCTCCCCTCTCTGATCCTTTTGAATGGAAGCTGAGAATAGACGGGAGCCTGTTTCAGACTTCTTGCGCAGTAATGCCTATATATGGATTCGTACACCAGGTTGAGCGAGTCGCAGGTACATCGAGTGAATGTGGGCCGCTGTGATTTGTAAAGTAGGTGGGAGTGGCGGGGGGTCCACATGTATACTATTATGTGTCATTGTGTGCGCATCATCGTAAATGGGAGACCCACTGTGTGTGGCTGCGTGCACGTCCTCGCACGCAAAAACCTCGATGCCAAGTGTGTGCGTCAGTGTGAGTCAGATCGCGTCTCATTCTGTCTCGTCATGTGTGTGCGTCAGTGCTGTTGCTGAGCGAAACTCGCTCCAGGGGAAGAAATGGAGGAGAGTGTATGGGAGGGACGAGCCGAGGCAGGGATGGTGGGATGATGATGGTAATGATGATGAGGCTGGGGGAGGAACTCGGGGCTTGACTATGACGACACAAATGCATCAGCCGCATTAAGTGCACTTTAATATAAATGCATTTTTATGACAACCAAATACACTTATAAGCATCACGATAGAACACTGGTCCACAATGTCCATTCTGCAGTAAATAAGATGTTCATAATATATTTCATCTTGGGCAATAAAAATCTCTCTCATCAGACCAATGACTGTTTCATACAAATGTACAAATGTGTACAAGCTTTCTGAAAAGAACATATGCCTATATCAAGACATAATGCATATGCATTAACATCGTTTTCAAATATCACACATACAATAATACTATTTTACACATATATATTAACTTAGCCTTTAATAGCTAGAACGTAGGAATCAATCCTTTACTTGACCGTAGACAACTCTACGTGAGCATGTCGACACCATGGGAATAGTACCATTCTCAACCCGTGTCGCTTGGTAAATGAATAGAAATAGCACCCCATCCCTATTTTTATTTTTTTAAAATAAAACGTTTATGTCATAACCCCTCTCAAAAAAGAAGAAAAG